TGCAAGAAAATGAATTTAGACCTCTGCCTCATAATATATATCTATATATCTATATATATCTGTATATATAAAAAAGGCAAAATGAATTAAAGACTTAAATATAAGAGCTAAAACTATAAAACTTATGGAGGATAACAACTTCATGGCATTAGATTTGTCAAAGGTTTCAAGAAAAAGCAACAAAAAAAATGGATAACTTGGGCTGTGTCAAAATTAAAATCTTTGTGCATCATATGCAGCAGTTGATGAGGCAACCCACAGAATGGGAAAAAATATTTTGAAATCTATAAAAAACCATCTCCCATCATAGAGGAATTAATATCCAGTATATGTAAAGAACTCATACAACACAACATCTAAAAAAAACAACCCAATTGAAAATGGATAAAGGACTTGACTAGACATTTCTCTTGTCTTATATTTCGGTAGTAGGTAATATTAGGACCATTTATGATTAGATGGTAAGTTATGCTAGGGAAGGGGGTCTCCTATATCCACTTATTATCCAGGTAGAAACTAACGGGTAGCTTTTTTCCAAAGTATCTCACATGAACTACATCATGTAGAAATATGTTGAAATTTCTGTCATATCTGAAATAATCTGGTATCTTTTTTTTTTTATCATATCTGACATAAAAAATGTCCTGGATTGATTCAATAGCAAAATGAATATAACAGAAGAAAGAACCAGAAGTTGAAGACAGATCATTAGAAATTAATTTGCAGAACAGATTAAAACAAAAAGAAATGAATATAGCCTCAGGGTTTTGTTGGATAATATCAAAAGATCTAAAAAATATGTTCAAAAGAAGAGAAAGAGATTGGGGCAATAAAAATACTTGAAGAAATAATGGTTGGAAACTACCCAAATTAATGAATGACATAAATTTGTAGCTGAAAAGTTCAGAATACCCCAGTCAGGATAAACTCAAAGAAAACCATGCCTAAACACATAGCAGTTAAACTGTGGAAAACCAAAAATAAATAATCTTGAAAGTACTTGGGGAAAAAATGGTATATTACATACAAGGACCAGTGGTTTGAATAACTCCATATTTCTCATCAGAAACCATGCAGCCAGAAGACAATAGAACACCTTTATTTTATTGATTGATTGAGAGGGAGGGAAAGAGAGAAAGAGAGCAGGGGAGGGGCAGAGGGAGAGGGAGAGAGAGAATTTTAAGCACACTTTCAGTGATCTCACAACCCTGAGATCATGATCTGAACTGAACTGAAGAGTCGGATGCCCATCTGACTGAGCCACCTAGGCACCCCTGGAACATCTTCAAAGTACTGAAAGAAAATAGAGGTGGCACCTGAACAACAGAGGTTTGAATTGCTTGGGTACACTTATACATGTATTTTTATAGTATAGTATTGTAAATGTATTTTCCCTTTATGATTATTTTTCTTATGGTTTTAATATTTTTTTCTAGCTTTATTGTAAGAATACAGTATATAACACATATAACATGTAAAATATATGTTAATCAACTGTTTATCTTATCAATAGGGCTTCCAGTCAGTAGTAAGCTATTAGTAGTTAATTTGGGGGGAGGAGTCAAAAGTTATACGTGGATATTCAAATCTCTGGGTTGGTGCCCGCAAACCCTGCATTGGTCAAGGGTCTACTGTATTTGGTAAGCATAAAAGGACTAATTTTATTCTTCTTAGGTTATACTGAGAGGTTTTAAATGGATATTGATATAGTATATATTATAGCTATAATATAAAGGCTAGCAGGAAGGTGGGATTAAAAGGGCCTATATGGTTGTAAGGTTTCTACATTTTATTTGACCTGGTTCAGTATTAACACTAAGTAGACTGTGAAAGGTTTGCTGTATCTTGATTTGTCTATCTATCTAATAATCCCTAGAGGAAGAACCACTAAAAGTTAAACAAAAATATACAGCCAAAAAATCAATATAAAAATTAAAATAATATTTAAATGCTCCCAAATAAGGGGAATGACAGTGGTCAGACAAACAAAACACAGACAGTAAACAGAAAACAGGTAATAAAACTGTAGACCTGAATCTAACCACTTCAATAATTACATTAAATTTGAGTGAATCTAAAGTCAACAACTAAAAGATATTGTCAGATTAGATGAAAATATCAAGATGCAACTATATATTCTCTAGGAGAAACCCGCTTTTATTTTTTTTAAGATTATTTGAGAGAGAGGGAGAAAGAGAGCGATAGAGAGCACTAGTTGGGGGAAGGGGCAGAGAGAGAGAGAAGCAGAGATTCCCTGCTGACCAGGGAGCCCGATGTGGTCCTTGATCCCAGGACCCTGGGATCACGATCTGAGCCCAAGGTAGTTGCTTAACTGACTAAGCCACCCAGGCGCCCCAAGGCGAAACCCACTTTTAGTATAAAGACGTACAGAGATAGATTAAAAATATAAGGGTGGGAAATATATACTAGGAACACAGTAAACAAAAGGGCAGCTCCCACCGTAGCCCTTTCCGTTTCTCATACAGTCCTTTTTTCCCCACGGTACTCTCTTTTACCATCTCACATACTATATTTGTTTGTTTATTGTCCCTCACCCCCTTTAGGAGGTAAGCTCTAATGGGCAGGAATTATGCACTGTTCACAGTTGTATCATCAAGGCCTGCAGTAGTCCCTGGCATGTAGTGCCCTCTCAGCAAATATTTGTTAAATGAATTTGACTATAGGCTTTTTTCTTCTGTCCTCTGTTAACATTTTTTTGAATGGCGTTCTGTAGAACAGTGGGGGAATACTCAGAGTAGGGTACCATGGGACAGGGTCTCTGACTTCAGGCAGCCCTTGAGTAACTGAGACAGTGGGCTCCAGAGAACATTTGATCCCTGTCTCCTTATTTTACAGACGAGGAAATTGAGGGAGGCGTAAAAATCATACAAAGATGTTTCAGCTGCAGTAAAACAGGTTTACAGAATACTCAAGTCAGAGCGCCTGGGTGGCTCATTCAGTTAAGCGTCTGCCTTCGGCGTAGGTTGTATTCCTGGAGTCCCGGGATCCCTGCTTCTGGCTCCCTGCTCTGGGGGGCAGGGGGGAGTCTGCTTTTCCCTCTGCCTCTACCCTTCTCCCCACTTGTGCTCTCTCTCAAATAAACAATCTTTAAAAAAAAGAAAAACCAAAATATTCAAATCATAATATGACAGGTAAGGAAATAGAATAGGAAAGACTAGCTTGTATTAGAGTATTTTTAAACTATCCTGTAGAAGGGTCTTATTGAGAAATTGCTAACTGGGATTATAATGCTCAACATTATAAAATGTAAGATATTTGTCATAAATTTATAAAACTGATAGTTTCCATAATTTTCAGGTAGTTTCCTAGAGTGTCTAATTCATAAAGAATCCCTTTCCAGAAAATTATAGTTTAAACTGTTTTGTAGCTATCAAAGTCTTGACTATTAATAGACATAAAGATATATTCTGGGAATGAGAGTAAAGGAAATGGAGATATAGGTAGACATACAGCTAAAATAAATAGAAATAAAACATAGCACATAGAAAATTCCAAATGAAAAGTGTGGATTAAAAAATACTAGAGGAAATTAGAATTGGATGACATGGTAGGCCAGGTATTAGGAGATGACTCTAGGAAGGGAGAGTGATTAGAATTTGGGAGGAACGTGAAAAGTAAAAAGAATTGAGTTGGGGGTGTGATATGAGTGTAGGCATAGAGGAGCCAGAGAATGTTCTGGCAGTGGTAGGTCAGTTTATTTTAATAATAGCATTTGTGTAGAACAATAATGATTGAAGCGCTTAAAAGGGATCTTGCAAACTGTGAGGGCATTTAATATTAAGTGAAATGGTTTGAATTCTTTTTTTTTTTTTTAAGATTTTTGTTTATTTGAGAGAGAGAGCATGAACGGGGGGAGGGGTAGAGGGAGAGTGAGAAGCAGACTCCCTGCTGAACAGGGAGCCCGATGCAGGACTCGATCCTGGGACCTTGAGATTATGACCTGGGCCGAAGGCGGACGCTTAACCAACTGAGCCACCCAGGTGCCCAGTAGTTTGGATTCCTAGGCAGTCAGGGGTGAAACTGTCAGTGATGTACATTATGGACAGGGGCAGGAGACTGTTGGAAAAGGTCCTTTATGAGGCGATAGTGATATAGTTCAGGATAGTAACAGTGAGAAAGGATTAATGTGATTGTACAGAGAAATCACAATGGGACCTAGTTATTTTGTAGATTTGAGAAGAAAGAAAGTTCTGTGGTTTCTGGTATCTGGGAAAATTGGTGGAAATAGGAAGTTCTAGCATGAATGCCATTTTATCACGAGAAGTAAGTTTGGTTTTAGACAGCAAGTTTGAGATGAGAGAGACATCTAATGATGTCCAATTATAGAAGTGGAACTGGGGCTCAGAGTTAGGGCTAGAGTTTGGGGAATTGATCCCCGTAGTGGTGAGAATTAAGTCCTGAAGGTGAATGAAATGTTAGGAGTTTCAGAGATTGTAGAATAGTGTAGCCTGAAAAGATGGTGGTGCACAGAACTTTAGTGGGCAGAGAAGAGGACTTGGTGAAGGGAACTTTGAAAAGTAGCGATTGGAGAAGTAGGGGAATCCTTGAAAAGAAAGCCAGGGGAGAAATAGCTTGTTCAAAATAACATTTATTCCACCCCTCCCACCTCCATTACAAATGCAGTATACTTTTAATATAAGAACCTGGGAAAGAACAGTATAAATATTTAAAAAGTATTTATACCCTCATTAGCCAGAGAAAACTACTGTAGATATTTTGTTATAGGTCTTAAATTACTATATATTTTTTGTTTAATGTTGTCTGTGTATTTGTGTATTTATATTGATATACAAGTCATTGGTTCTTTGATGCAGATAGTTGAGATAAGTAATAAGATAACTCAAAAAGCCTTGTTAATTCCATAGCTTATTTGTTGATTCTATTTTCTAAATATTTAATGTATGTAGAATTTATGTTTTATTTTCAAATGACTAATTTAAAAAAGGTTTCACCTCTAATACTCTCCTTTTATCCTTCAGATGATTGCAAAAGGGAAAAATGCATCTGAACTGTTCCCTGCTGTTGTGAAGAATGTGGCCAGTAAAAATATTGAGGTACTGTTTTTGTTTTTGTTTTTTTTTAAGATTTTATTTTATTTATTTTAGAGAGAGAGAGAGAGAGAGAGAGAGCATGCACACATGTACACTGAGCCGGTGGGGTTGGGGTTGGTAAGAGCAGAGGGGGAGGGAGAGAGGGGGAGGAGGGGAAAGAATCTTAGGCAGACTCTGTGTGGAGTGCGTAGCTGACCCCACAATCCCGAGATCATGACCCCAGCCGAAACCAGGAGTCTGATGCTCAACCGCTCAACTGGCTGAGCCACCCAGGTGCCCCTTGAGGTGCTATTTTGATTCATAATCTTCATGATTCCTTTTGTTGTAAAGAATCGTAACTTTTCAGTTACTTTGAAATGTAGCATAAGATCCTTAAGTATCACTAGATTTTTTGTTATAATTAAGATGTCCATAATCTTAAATAAACAAACAGTATTTAGATTTTTGGACAGAGAATGTGAAAAGTAAATTGAGATTAATTCACCTGGGTGAATGATGGTAACTTGTGTATTCTTAGAAACCAGTTTACTTGAAATTCTGCTCTAGGGACTTAATTTTACGATAGCACATGTCCAGTGAAACAGACCTAAGTTCATGCAGTATAAGGGCAGCGGTTGAACCCAAGTATTACCACTCCAAATGTAGTGTTCTTTTTGAGACATTTTAGCTCTGGTATACCCTGCCTCTGTACAGCAGGATGTATTGTGAGCCTTCAATTACTTGTCTCTGTGTGGGTTTGCAAGTGGTGTTTGAAACAGAAATTCAAAGAACTTTGAGGCCAAGGTAATGTTGGGTCAGATGGACTAATGACCTTTGATAGAGTACAAAAGAAAAATAAGAGCCAGTGTAGAAACCATTGAGTAAGATAAGTAGGATGAAGAGTTCAGTGAAGGGGCTAAGAGGTTGATCGTGAGCAAATGGCTTGTTTTTAAAAGAATACAAGGTAGTAAGGAAGAGGATTGAAAGACCATGTCTGTCATGCTGCTCACTGTCACCAGTGTGGTAGTGATCGTCTGGAGGATATGTTCACTCAGTAAGAAGTAGTGATACAAGCATGAGAAGGAAAATGCCAGCACACATGCTTCCTCTTTGCCCATTGCTGACAACTGTGAACATCAACTGGGGGGAATGTTCTTGGCTCTGTTATTGAGTCTGGAAAGTTTGACGGAAGGAGCAGTCTCCACTGAAGAATATTTTCAAGGACTTAGTGACATCAGGGCAGATGTTTTAGGTGGAGATAGATGGAGTATAAGAAGTAGAAATTAAGAAAATAAGGGAGTTTTTCACATAATCAAGTATTAATATTACTATTAAAGCTGTATCTCTGTTTTATGTATTTATTTAGTAGGTGCTTGCCCTAGGGTGTACAATGCACATCTTTATCTTACTACAGTCTACCACTAGGATTTACAATATACATCTTTAAGTTATCACTATCTACTTTCAAGTAACATCGTAACACTTCACGTATACTTTGCAAATCTTATGACAGTGAATTTCCATTTTTCCCCTTCCCATCTTTTCGCATGGTATCATGCATTTTACTTTTAAATATGCTAAAACTTCCCAGTCATCTTTTTTAAAAGATTATTGAAATACAGTTAATATGCCATAACTTTTAAAGTGTGCCATTCATTGATTTGTAGTATATTTACAGAACTGTGCAACCGTCACCACCATCTACTTCCTCTATATTTTTATCACCTCAAAAAGTAATCCTGCTTTGATTAGCAGTCACTCCTTATGCCCCCAGCCCTATGCAACCATTAAATCTACTTCCTATTTCTATGGAATCGCCTATTCTGGGCATTTCATATAAATGAAGTCATATAGTATGTGACATTTGTGTCTGGCTTCTTTCACTTAGAGTGCTGTTTTCCAAGTCCATTCATGTTGTAGTGTGCATCAGTACCTCATTCCTCTTTATTGCTGAATAATATTCCATTGTATGGATGTACAGAGTTTTGTATATTCATTCATCAGTGATACTTGGGTTGTTTCCACTTTTTAGCTATCATGAATAACACTACTATAAAGACTTTCTACACGTTTGTGTCTGAATCTATGTGTTCATTTCTCTTGTATGTATACCTTGCAGTGATATTGCTGGGTTTTATGGTTACTGTCTATTTTTTTGAGGACCTGCCAAACTCTTTTCCACAGCAGCTGCATCATTTTACATTTCTATCAACAATGTGTGTGTTATAATTTCTCCACATCCTCACTGATACTTTTTTTTCTTTTTTCTGAAAAAAAAAAATTACTTTCTTTTAGATTATAGCTATCCTAGAGAGTGTGAAGTGGAATCTCATTGCTGCCTTTGCAGTTTTCGATTTGCATTTCTCTAAGAGAAAACTGTTGAGCATCTGTTGGCCAGTTCTACTTCTTCTTTGGAAAAATGTCTATTCAGATCCTTTTACCATTTTGTAATTGGATTGTCTGTTTATTGTTGGAGTTCTTTATATTTTCTGAATACTAGACTCTTAATTGATGTCTAATTTGCAAATATTTTCTCTCATTCTATGGGTTATCTTTTTATTTTCTTGATTGCATCCTCTGAAGCACAGACATTTTAAATTTTGATGAATTCCAATTCATCTATTTTTTCTTTGTTTGCTTATGCTTTAGGTGTCATATTTAAGAAACGGATGCGTAATCCAAAGTCATGAAGATTCATGCTTGTCTTTTTCCTAAGAGTTTTGTAGATTCAGCTTATATATAGTACTATGATCCATTTTGAGTTAATCTGGATGCTTAATCCAAGGACCCAAAGATTTATACCTGTCTTTTTCCTAAGAGTTTTGTAGATTCAGCTTTTATATATAGGGCTGTGATCCACCTTAAGTCGCCATGGAACTACTGATCTGTTTTCTATCATATAGTTTTGTCCTTTTTAGAATTTCTTATCTATTAAACCGTACGGTTTGTTATCTCTTCATTTGACTCCTTTTACTTAGGAATCGGAGATTCGTCTATGCTATTTCATGTATTCACATTTTGTTCCTTTTCTGCTGAAATCTGATTTCACAATTTTTAAATTTACCTGTTGAAATACACTTGAATAAAATGCTGTATGTGGTCATGTATTTTAATTTTCAATTTTTTAAAAAATTTTTTCTTTTCTAAATACCTAGGGATAGATCAGTTGCATTGTCTGGAAAATGTATATTTAATTTTTAGAAAATGGGGCACCTGGGGGGCACCTGGGTGGCTCAGATGGTTAAGTGTCTGCCTCTGCTCAGGTCATGACGCCAGGGTCCCGGGATCGAGCCCCGCATCGGGCTCCCTGCTCTGCGGGGTGTCTGCTTCTCCCCCTCCTTCCTGCTCGAGCTCTCTCTCACTATCTCTCTCTCTCAAATAAGTAAATAAAATATTTAAAAAAAATTTTTTTTAGAAAATAGTGTATAGAGTTTTCCAGAGTGGCTCTACCATTTACATTCCTGCCAGCAATTACATGGGAGTTACAGTTGGTTCACATCCCTTCCAACACTTGATCTTATTGGACTCTTTTAACATTAGCCACTTTGGTAGGTGTATAATGGTATTTCCTTGTGCCTTTATTTGCATTTTTTTATATTTAGTGATGTTGAGCATCTTTTCATAATTTATTGGTTGGTCATCTCTCTTCTAAACTGTTCAAATCTTTAGCCTGTTTTTAATTTTTTTTTCTTACTACTAAAGTGTAAAAAAATTCTGGTACCAATCTTCTGTCAGAAGATGGTTATTTACTGTTATTTATTTTCTCTTGGTCTGAGGCTTGCCTTTTGGTTTTCTTAATATCTTTTAAAAAACAAACATTTGATTTTGATAATGTCCATTTTATCTGTTTTCTTTTCAGTCATACTTACTGATTTTTTTTGTGACCTGTTTAAGAAATCTTTGCCTAATCTAATGTCAAAGATTTTTCCTGGTTTGTTCTAAAAGTTTAATAGTTTTAGCTATTATATTTAGGTCTGTGATCCATGTCATAGGTTTATGATCCACAGGTTCTGTAGTTCACTGGGAGGATTTACGTATAAGACTCAAGTTATAGCCGTGGCTATATGATTTATTACAGTGAAAGACACAACAAAAGCAGGCCCTGAAACAGGTGTGTGGGGAGAGGTCCAGAGGAAATTAGAAGCAAGCTTCCAGGTATCCTGGCCCACTGATTTTCCCAGTCACAATTCCTCCAGCATCAGTTGTGACAAAAAGTGCCAAGTGTTGTCCACTAGGAAAGTTCATTAGTGACTCAGTGCCCAAGTCTTTCACTGGGGGCTGTTCATGTAGGCATTACCTGCCCAGCGAGTACCAAAATTCCAGACTCCCTGAAAGAAAGCGCATGTTGAGCATAAACCATATTGTTGGTATGTAAACCACCCATCTCAGTTAGGGAATGTGGGAATACCCCTGAGATTCAAGTTCCCAGAAGCCATTAGGGCCAACTTTGTAAGCAGACTTTCTAAAGATAGCAGTCTCTGGCCTGCTGTATTAACTCTTTACTGTGCAATCCATTTTAAATTAGATTTTGTGTGTGATGTGAGGTAAGGTTTGAGATTTCGAGATACATATTTTTTTCCCGATATTCAGTTGTTCTAGTATCATTTTTAAAGAAGACTGTATCTTTTCCCCCTTGAATTACCTTGCCGTGTCTTGTCAAAAATTATTGATCATATAAGTGCAGGTATGTTTCTGGATTCTATTCTGTTGCATTGATCTGTTTGCCTTACCACACTGCACTGTTTACTATAGTCTTCTTTGTTGTTGTTGTTTACTGTACTCTTGAAGTCAGGTAGTATAAGCCCTCCAGTCTTGTTCTGTTTTTAACCTTATTTTGGCTAATCTGGGTCCTCTGTCTTTTTATGTAAGTGTTAAAATTAGCCTGTCAATTTCTTCAAAAGCCTGTTAGAATTGATTTTGTTTGCGTTGAATTTATAGATCAATTGCCATCTTTACCATATTAAGCCTTCCAATCCTTGATTGTGGTCTTCTTTAATTACCTTTTGCAGTGTCTTGTAGTTTTT